GCAAAACTGTTTGTAAGTCATCTGGTATGTCCCACTCAGAAGGATGTGGAATAGGGTAGACAATCTCGGCATAAGTCTGTCGATAAACTTCTGTAGTGTAGCAATCCATAGCGTATGCGCTTGAATCATCTTGGTTTAAATGAAGAGCAACTTTTATAACATGGCCACACGGATAACCAGATGTTTGCCATTTCATACAACTACACGTCTTTGCATTTAGATCGACTAGCCCATTTAAGTTATTATCCAGTACTTGAAACAAAGTGTTTGAACATGGTTCAACTCTCCATGACGTTGACTTCACAACACGTTTCGTTATCTTTTTTTCAGTCCATGGTGTAACACGATGTTCCAATGTTCCTGTAAATTTAAATAAACAATACTTAGTAAAATATATAAATATGATAAGTTACGAATTCAAAGAAATAATACCTGCATGGTTTCTTTCTTGTAGTACCACTGTTGAATAGAGGCTCGAAAAAACTCCATTAACATAGTAATGGGTAATTTTCGGGAATGACGACTTAGAGCGTTGATTGATTCTGCACTATTAGACGTCATGAAACCATATCTTGCTCCAAGTTGATGTACTCTTGACCATCTTTCAAACCCGACATCTTCTAGTGTTTGAGCACACTGAGGCAAAACACGTCTTAAACAATTTATATGCTTATTGAAATCCACTTCCCGATAAGCTTTTACAGCCTTCCAGTATGTCCATTTGTGCTTTTTTATACCAGCAGACCTTGATTTTAGATTTCTATACAAATGAACACCACAAAGTCCATGAAAAGCATCTGGGAAACACCTTCTAACAGCGTTGTCAATTGAGTTTGCCCTATCGGATATGATTGTCAGATTGCTAATAGGACCTATGCAATCCCTAAGATGCCCCATAAACCATGTCCATGAATCAGAGGTTTCAGATTTGCCAACCCGTAAGCTATTGGCAATATCCCATTGTTAGCATCCATAGCTACTGCTAATAAGTTTACTCCAAGGTATCGACCTTTCAAATGTGCTCCGTCAACTATAATAACTGGGCGCATGCAAGTAATAAACGAACGAATCTACAAAATAATATACACAAGAAATATAATCATTTAAATGTGAAATGCATGTAACTAACAAAAATGAGTCAACAAAATTATATTGATTTACTAACCGTAGCACCAATGGCGATAAACAGCAACTCAAAGCGTCCATCTCTATCTGTTTTGATATGAGTTACCGACCCAGGATTTTTCAGCTTTAAATTGTGACAATAAGCCGGCAGTTGGGCAAACGATGCTTCTGGCGACCCCTCAACAATTCCAAGGCATAACATTTGGCTCTCCAAGCTTGAGAATATGATATACTAATCTTGAACCGAGCATTCATGTCAGTCATAATTTCATGTCCCCGATATACCCTGCCATTCAAAAACATTAACTCAGCCAGAAAACCACCCAACACCTTTTTGTTTGCCTGTCTATGGTGAGGAAAAACTTGGGTTCTTGAACATGTATGTTTATCAATAAAAGTCCTAACTTGAAACATTTTGCAATCTTTTATTCTCTTTGCAATCATACGCCACGTACAGTTTTTGTCAATCATACACCTTGTTTCGAAACGATCTTTGCTTGATTTGTTAACTTTTAGTTGATAGCCATCTTCCACACATTTCGTATATAAAGCTATCTTCAAGTCTTCCTTTGTATCAAAACAATCATCTTTCTTGATACGAATAACTTTTGTGTAACAATCAACTGCTTTCTTTATCAACTCTTCTTCCGGTATCTGAAGTAATTCTGGCATATTCCAGTTATACGCCCGTGGCATTTTCTTTTCTTCGGGGACTTTTTCTTCTTCTTTTTCTTCTTCAGGATTATATGAATTACAGAATGGATGTTCAACATGTTCATTCACAGTCGTAACTTCCTCCTCATTATCATCAACATTACATTCTTCGGCAACGGCTGTTTCATCATCAAAATTCGGGTATTGACCAATATCAATATCATTACACGCATGGTCTGTTTCTTCTTCTGAAACATCATCAAAATCCGTGTATTGACCAATATCAAAGTCCGGATATTGACCAAGACCAAATTTCGAATACTGACTAGTACTCACAATTTTTTCTGTTGGCTCATCATCGTCTAACTGGTCAATACGAAAACCGGAATTTGGTGCTGAAAGTTGATTGGGATTTGGATTAGAGAAAGGTTGTGGGTTTTGAGAAAAACTTAGTTGATTACTACCCGCTACTGACCCAACAATACTACTTCTAGGTTCAACAACATACAATGTAACATCATCTTGTGAAACACTAATGTAAGCAATGAATCGTTCAACATCTTCATTGTCGGTTAACAAATAAACTTTACCATTTCTCTGATAAGATAGCCTAAATCCACTTAGGGGCTCTAAATTCAATTTATTTGAAACACGTAGCATTAGAGTTTCATAAGTTAACTTTTGTAAAGACAATTTTAGTTGAAGATTTATGGGTAAAGGCATATATTGTAAAACACCATTAACATTATCCCATGACCCTCCAAAACACAAATCTATCCAAACATGATCAACATTAGATGATTTCATGGTTGTAACTAAACAAACGAGATGCGAAACTAAGACCTGTTGCCGGATGGGGAAGGATGTCGTTGGATATAGGAACGGATGTCGCCGGAGAGAGTGATAGATGGAGATGGAATGAGTTGCGATTTAGGGATTTAGTTTATGATTTCAGTGTTATATACCCAAAATTTCAGTGTTGTGATTTACAGATTCTCGTTGCGATTTACGGATTATCGTTGCGATTTACAGATTCTCGTTGCGATTTACGGATTATCGTTGCGATTTACGGATACGCGTTGCGATTTACGGATTATCGTTGCGATTTACGGATACGCGTTGCGATTTACGGATACGCATTGCGATTTACGGATACGCGTTGCGATTTACGGATACACGTTGCGGTTTACGGATACGCGTTGCGATTTACGGATACGCGTTGCGATATACGGATACGCATTGCGATTTACCCATACGCGTTGCGATTTACGGATACACGTTGCGATTTACGGATACGCGTTGCGATTTATGTGTTCGCGTTGCGATTTTCATATTCGCGTTGCGATTATGGAAAATCGCAATGCGAATTTGTACTATCGCATCGCGATTTTCAAGAATCGCGTTGCGATTCTGGAAACTGATTTGCGATTCTGGGGATCGCGTTGCGATTTTCATTTCGCGTTGCGATTTTGTTGGTCATTTTGGCAAATCCAAAAAAAGTTGGTTAAAATCGTATATTATAACTTTTTTTTGGTCACTGAGGCGATTTTCTCTATATAATATGGCTCTAGTGGCCAGCCTCAGTTTCAAACACAATTCTAAATAGGTACATACGTAAGATTTTATGTTAAAAAACGAACTTATAAAATTTTAGATGAAAGCTAATTTAAAATTTTAGGAGAAAAATAGAATATAAATAGAAAATACACAGAAAAAACCTAAAATATAAGAGAATTTTAAAATATTAGGAGAGGCGAATGCTTTGACCCGTCCTCTCCATCCATCCTTTATTCCAAATAACAATCCAACGGAGCAAAGCCTAAAACCCCCCATCTGCAACTAAAAGGGGTCACTATATTTTAGTCCAAACTGTAATGAAAACAGCTATCAACCTTGTCTGCTTCGTTTAATTTGGTATTTAATACTTTATTTTATTCCAAAAAAAAGTTGAGAGAATGAGATGCTTCAGTAGGACGCCCTTTATAGAATCTTGGGCTTATTCAATCCATCCGAGGTTGACCTTTCCCTTGGAGAATGTTGAGGAGCTTATGGTTATGGTAAAAAGTGAATGACTTGATGCCAATGGAATATTCCCAAGGATTCTTTTTAAAATCAATGTAGTCTTTTATTTATGAAATTTAATAATAGATATGCTCTAATCATAGCTGAATCGTTGTTCGAGTTTGGAAGCAGGAAGTCTTGAGTCGCCTAAGCCAAAGTCAAGGGTAACGGTGGAGGAGATAAGAAAAGGACGTCTAAGAATGAATATGAGGAGCCTTTGAATGGGAGACGACAAACTTTACAAGTCGTGGGGAAAGAATGATCAAGCTTTCTGCCATCAACATGACGAGGGATTGTTTCGAGAAGATCAAGCTTTCTGCCATCAAGGGAGATGACGATGCAGAAAGGGAGACTCTCAAGCTTGGCTCGATTATCCGTTACATCCAGGTCAACAAGGCAGCAAGGAGAAGAGATCGATTTTCGTAGACCTCATCGTGGCAAGCAAGAAGATGAATGCACTAGTTGACATAAGTGCCTCGTGGTTCTTCATATTCGAGCAAATTGTCAAGAGACTTTACATTTGTGTTGAAAAGACAACTAGGTGGTTAAAACTGTTAATTCCAAAGAAACGCCGATTGTGGGAGTGAAAAAGCTTAATTTTCGAGAGTGAACTAGTAATGAAGCCATCAATGTAAATATCACTGGATGTACTTTTTTGTTTGTTTTGTTATTGGACTTAATTTCTTTGACCTAATTAATGCACTTCGTGTACTTTTTGCCTATCTATCCTTAACCCACACCATGAATGCAATGTTTCAGTGAGCTGCGATGCTGAAGTAGGTGCCAAGATGTTGTCCACAATCCAATTTATCAAGGGGTGCGCATGAAAGAAACACGACTGCCTTGGTTAGTGACCGAATTAACCGAATTTTCTTTAGTTAATTATCTATTTTACTGACAATGTCCATCTCACTTAAAAGTTGTGTTAATATACATATGCTCACTAAAAAATATGATCATAGCAATCATCAAAGGGCTTCGTCACGGGCTGTGCTGTCAACAACACCGAGATATCTTAACAGAATTTTGTATTTTCTCTACATCTAAAATTATCATGCTTACCTATTCTCATCCCCAGGTGCTTTTTTATCAAGTAATAAACAGATTTAAGGAGCTTCTAATCCTGACCCTTTAATAGTTTTGCTTTCAATTTCTGAGAATTCAATCAAAACTAGTGTGTTATTTAGTCAGTAAATGGTATGGTTTGCACACTACACTATCTGACAATATTAAACACGATGGAATTACACCATTATATATTTTCAGAAAATGCTTTTTTCCACAAATAAAAGAGACCCAAGGCCAGAAAATCGGGTGTTTGCACAAAGAGGCATCTTCGGTATAGCGCCAATTCCGACTTCAGAACCTCCTGCGTCATGTATACATGCTCTTCCGGTTGCTGTATATTAGACTGTAGTGTAATGCATGGTCGGAAATTGGATCTCAACACCCGATTTTGGATAATAAGCAGAAGAGTTTGAAACTTGTTGATCCCATTAATGCAATCGAGCCCGACCCGGATTAAGAAGTGATTCTGACATCCTCCAACCCTGCCAAACAACAAGATAGCGCATGAAAAGAAACATAAGGACATGCAGAAACACAAATTATAAACATGCAATGTGTAATTTACAGCCAATATACTATGCCCTGAAATACTACCCTGCTAAATTCTTGTGGAAGATATGCTTCAACTCTAATGTCTAGGAAATTATAGCAAACTTGATTTACCAAATCAAAAATTTGCAACCAACAACTATACTTTTAAATATGGGTAATACGCATGCCATCCTTTGCACTTTAGAACATATGCATGCATGCAACAACACTTTTAATTTTAGCAGCGCCTTCCTCTGCACTTGCAAGATTAATCAAATGAACCCCATTCATTCGTCACTCATTGAGCATGCATCACATACTAGCCATCTGTGTTTTGCATGAACACGACGTTTATAAGCAACACCGAATAAACTTCAATGGTTTTACTTCTAGTTACGAGTGAATAGACTCATCAAAATCAATAGTTAGGACATTTATAAAACCTATTTCCACATTTGTTTTCTTCATACTGATATTTTGCCCCTTTCTAATCACTCACTAATATCATTCATAACACATTTTAGTAGGCTATTGACCTGACAGATTAAGATCATATACGATAAAAGAGTATTTTCTAATATTTCAAAAAGTGAAGATGGGATATTACCACAATAAGGCGTGTTAGCATTATGTAATGAGTAAGCATGAGTTCCACCCCCGAAAAAAGAAAATTGCATACGAAATGGGAAATTTGAAAAAGAAAAGTTGAACATCTCTTTATATTTGAACATATGACAAGCAACAAACCTCAGTAACCTAAAATCAGATGAAGGGTAAGTTGATAACACGAAGGAGAAATTATGTGGCGAACAATGTGAACAAAGAATGGAATATTCCTGACAAGAACGGCTAACCTGTTCTGCAGCTTTGTTCTTGAAATGTCCATATGATGTTGAAACCATCTTACATGATTCAGCAACGTGAGGCTCAAAATCAGTAGTTGTGGGCACAAGATCTTCTTGCTGGCTTATAGATGAAGATTGACGATTATTTGCTGAATGAATGAAATGCAAGAGCACATTTGCCTGTAATAAAAGGTGGAATTACTGCTAAGCACAAAAAAATGCAAGCAAAGTTTGGCTAGCCAACATAATAAGTATGTAAAGCCAAGAGAATTATCTCACGTGGAATGCAGCTTTTAGAATGTCATCTGACTTGGCTTGATCCTTGAGCAATGCATATACTTTTCCCTTGGAAGGATTATATGTCACTATATATCTTTCTTTCTGCCATATAATTGAATAATCCATGTAAGTTTATACATGCTTTATGGGTAAGAGAAAGAAAACCTAGAAATTCAATCAATCTCCATTCCGAGGGAGTGTACCTCAAAGAGAGGTTCTATTGCAAGATAGGCACCAGGATCTTGGAAAGCATCCCTAAATCTTGAGCCTGCAAACAATTGGACAGCTTTTAGACTGAGCTCAAACAATATAGCCACTAGAACCTTTTTTTTTTTTTGTTAGGGGAAACCGCAGTTTAATACAAACCAAGAACAACAGGTCTGTCCTTTAACCATGGAAGAGTGAATATTGTTTCCTGCATATTTCCCTCCTGCAATGAGGGAACTCGTCCTGCAACACAAAGAAACACAATGAATCATTTTATATCTGAAGAAATTCTCCAAATACTTCTAATTCATTGAAATTGCACTGACAATAACAGAAAGAATATATAGTCTAAATGCAGTGAAGTTCTATTACAGTTTTACTAACCAGTCTTTAGGAAGGACTCTACAGCCACACTGAATCTCGCTCTATTTAATGTGTCCAACACTACAGAGCTAACCTGGAAAGAAAATTATCATAAGCTATTAGCAGAACGTAAACTTCCAAAAACAAAACTAGGTAGATGGTTTAGCCAAAAATAACAAAATTGCTAGTGTGCAATGAAACCTCTCTGTAAGAACTGAAGACATATCCACATGAAAGAAGAGAAAACGTGGTAACCAAGGATGGGTTTCTTTTCGAGATAAGAATGCTCAGTCCAGTTCCTAACTACAAACAAAATTGAGCAGTTCAGTTGATAAACCTCAAATCTAAACTAAATAAAATAAGGCAAACAAAAAATGCATGACAATTTATGATATGAGAAATTGGATAGAAAACATTAGGGTAGATGCAAGACATATATTAATTGCAAAAGCACAAAACCCAAACATACTACTAATTTTTCATGACAGAATATTTCCAACATTCTACAGTCGATGGGCTTAGGGGAGTGTATATTTCGGTTTTAAACAAATTAATTTGGTTAATCAGTCGGTGGCCAAAATAATTTTGGTCAGGTATTAGTTAAAGATTTTGTTCAGGTATTAATTAACCAAAATTTAAATATACATAACTAATATATTTCTAATTTTAAGCCAAAATCCCATCAATGGCCCATAATTTTTAAAACCCAAATTTTATTTTTTAAACCCATCAATACTGTTTAGGTATTATAAATTTTGCCTTTTTATTATAAATATTTTTTCCTTTTTATTTAGTTGTTTTAAAAAACTAAAAAGTTGATATAAATTTCAGTTAATTTAAAAACTGACTGAATTAACCAAAATTAATTCAATTCGGATAAGGGTTAAGAATTTTAAAATTTTGGTTAATTCAACTAATGCCTACTCAGTTCAGTTATTAACCGAACCCACCATTTGAACACCCCTAAGCAGACCACTGGGTCTGTAGTTAATGGCCATAGTGCCTTCTAATGCAAAGAATCAACTACTGTTAAAACTGCATGATGTAACTATTCGTCATTAATTACCCGAATATCAATTTAATTATTTTATGAATGCTAAGATTAGAAACAAAGATAACCTTAAAAGATACTTAGATTGAAATTACAAGAAATGAGAGGTTGGACGGAAGCTTGTTCCTAACTTGGGAGGTACGATTCTCTTTTGTAATATATTGCTGTGAAATGTATTCCTTTATGCATTTCTAAATTTCTTCTATAATTGATCTCTATCACTAACCGCCTCCAACAATTAAGTTGCTATTCTAGAAACAAATGATATGAAAGAAGGTATTGACAGGTGTTTATCACAGCTCTTGCGCTTCTATATTTAAATTGAGTCTCTACCTATTTTTAATGTATTTAATGTTGGATAAAAAATAAGAACTAAATGGTATTTTGAGTCAAATATTGAGATGTCTGTCAACACTTTGACTTAGGCTAGAAACAAAAACTAATAATATTTACTATCGTGCATTAAGAGAATTCTAATTTCAACCCCTTTTTTGCCTTTTATTCCTGTGGTCATAGTTGTAGATGGTATACGAAGTATCAAACCATCATGTAGCAGAAGCAAACAGCAAACTAATACTTATGGTTTGCTCTTTCTCAACACAAAATGTTGACAAGAAAGCCCAGACCATCATGGTCATTATAAATGACATTGCTGCAAAGGGAACTCTCTATATGTTGGTTTATACTTTAAAGTGACTGTTATACCAAACTCTCATATCACTGATGTTTTAGAAAATTGTGTCTGTGAAGAACACTGCTTCAGGTTATATCAAGATATTTTAAAGCATACCAGATCTGCAATATTGCCAACACATTCTCCTTTAGCAGTGACATCTCCAATGTTTTCTCCTTTAGCAAAGGCTTTGTAAATTGGAGTCCGAGTTGATGTTGATGTTACAGCAGCAACATTCTGCAAGTAAGCAACAAAGAATAAGATGGCAATACTAAAAAGGCTGCAAAGAAACAAGTTGTAAGGTCAAAATAATCACCTTTAACACATTTGCAGCACAAGCCAAAGGAAGAAAAAGATGAGGCACAGCTGCAGTTGCCAACTCTACCCCAGCACCCAGCTCCATTAGTAGGTCACCAGTAAACCGCAGCTAAAAACAATGGAATGTAAAAAATTCCTTATAAAATAATCTGCCGCTTCTACAACATCCATCATCAAAAAGTAAAACAAGAAAAAGACCTGTTTTAGATCGTAATCAAATTTTTTCCCTTGTCGGGAAAAAAGCATTTTACCAACACGTCCAGCACCATCCTGCAAGAATAGTTATACTTTAGCTTGATAGATAATCAGTTTCGACAATTTTTTTTTCTTTATAATACGACATTAAATTAAAAAAAGGCGACAAAATAAAAGGAAATAAAATAAAATAATAAAGACTACTAAGTTAGAAATGAAAAGTTTATGAACCGATGGCAGTCTGTCCATTTTATGAATTCTATGAAATTACTTTTTGAATGCTTTACAGGTGCCAAAAATGAGCAAAATTGAGCATAGAAGCATTTCCTTTTAGATGAATAAAGTAGATGTTTTAATTTTTAAAATGGCCAATGGCAGCTCAATCAGGAAAAATACTAAACTGTATTTATGGCAAAAGGTCATATCAATCGTAGACTCACATCATCTTTCTGACAAGTATTCCAGTATCCAGGTGGGAAGGAATATTTGCAAATAGGTATGTAACCAATTTTGAGTACAACAATCTGAATTTATAACTTTATCCTCAAACATTGTGTAAAACAATTCACCAGCTTTGCATCTGGTAGAAAATATGTATAGAGAAAATTTGAACTCCAAGACAAGCTTCCAACATGAACAATATTTCATAAGCACTTACTAGCCAGTTTTGCACTAGGAAAAACTCATTAGGACAAACAACACAGTTTCTTTAGGGAGAAAAACTACAATAAGATGCTAGCATTGCTAACATATTTACTTTTGAAGAGCAGATGCTTCCTAAAAATTAATATGACAAAAGCCAAGCCAGTGAACAAATCAACAAAGCAATTGGAAATTACATTATGCATTTGCAACCTAATATTCCAGAAGTGTATTGCTGAAGCAAAGTATAGGTACGGAAACAGCAAAGATGATCTAAGGTATAAATCAAGATATTGACATGATGAAAATCAGAAACTGTTCACTAGATATCTCAGTTATATGGAAACTCGACATAATAAGGATGTTAAGATAATGTGATCTGAAAGGAGAAACCCAGTTTAGAAATAGATGAACATTTTCACATCGCAGACCCCATTTGGCTTTTTAATAAATTCTATGACATTACTTCTTGAATGCTTTACAGATGCCAATAAGGAGTAAAATTGGTGCTTCTTCAAACATTTTGAACCTCAACTTAAGGAAATACTAATATGAGAAACATAATTTCAGCAAAAGAAATGCCAATCTCAGAAAATTCAAGATGTGCCAAGACAAACAGCCTTTAGGATTTCCAAATAGACTCAGTGGCTCACTATATCCTAAAATAACTGTTCATATCAGAGATTCAGAATATTCAGTACGCTTTTTTTTCTTTCATAAACTCCAGTCTAGTCCTGTAATACATTAATGGTTAATAGATGCAAACCAGAGAAAGATAACGCTCATAGACTTGGAAACTAGACAACAAGAAATGCCAAGACAGTTGTGAAAAAGTAATTGTTGAAGCAAGTGTAAGCTGATATCTTTTAGCCGCTAAACTTAAAGAAGGAGATATGTCTCTGACTTCAAGCATCTTATGTCTTCCTTAATCCCTACCTTGAGAATCCAATTAATTGCGACAGCACCAGGCGTTGCTCTATTTCTGGAGATTCCAACTGAGCTCAAGAGGGTTTGAGTCGTGAAAACCCCCATTGCTCCACCAAAGAAATGCTGCATTGAACAAGATGGTATTCAGTATGGTATTTAGCGAAGCTGAAATCCTAAAGCGAGAGGCATGGGCAAGATTGGAGCCCTACAATGCCCTCCATTTTCTCAACATGCTTGAAACCCCACCTTCAACGCTCTCCAAGTCATGTATGGCACGTATGAGGGAGTAACACTGTCAGGGAAACCCTCCGGTACAACATACGATCGTACGAATGACATCAATTCCTGAACAATCAAATGAATAACAGTCCAAGTCACCCCGCAAGCAAAACGAAAACGATATAAAATCAAAACAGACGCAAATCTAACAGAAAGTGTAAGATCTAGCGGCTTCACTTGGAATATTAAGTATGGATTTAAGGCGCAAACTAGTTAATTCTTTTTCTTCCATGTTGTTCGGTACAAGCTATGTGTACACTCGTAAAAAAAAGATGCGAAACAAAGTAGAGAAACTGACATCAAGAGGTGTCTGAGGGGTGTGCAAAGTGAGAGCGCGCATGGAATTGTTCTTGAAATTCCCAAAGGAATCTCTCTCGGCCACGTACTTCCATCTCCTGCCGTCGATTTCCTCGCAACAAATCAATTTCAAACTAGAATCTCGGAATTCGTCACCGACCAGTCCCATCCTCCGATTTTCAACCATCAACGGAATCGAGGCTCCTTCAGTAACGCCTCCGCCAGTGCTACTTATGCCGGCATTGGAGGCGAGGCTGGCGCTTATACGCAGCGTTTCGCGGACGAGGAGACGGGACTCCTGGGCGGTGAGGGTTTGGGAGGTGGAGTTGGGGGATTGCTTCATCTTTGTTAGCAATGGGAATTGAGAGGATTTTACTTGAATGATTGACTTGAAAATGGAAAGGAAGGCGCTTTTGGTTTGCTTTTATGATTTTGGACACTTTGATTTTAACGAAATGAAATGACATTGGGGAAGCCAAGGTGGCCGTGGCCTACGCTCTACAGCTACTCACTCCAATTGAAATTAGGGTAAACTTCACAGTTTCTCACTGTAATTTATTCTCTATCCTCTTTTACTTACTATACTTTTAATTTTTCTAACTTACTCACTGAATTTTACATATAAAATCATTTTGCTCACTCCCCATTACTCTCTAATGTTTTGATGACATGGAATTTATTTATTTATTTTTTAATATAAAAAAAAAGTTGAAGGTGGTCGGATACCATTGCTGGCCACCTTAGATGGTGGTCGTTCAATCTTAAATTTTACGGGTCGCTTCACCTTGCACCGTGAGTCTTAATTTGACCTCCATTTTGTCAAAATTTACTCTGAAATCCATGAATTTGATATTGAAAATGAGGAAGCCAAAAAGTTTCAGTTTAGATTCACGGGGTTTAAGACATTTTCTGTTGAAACAACCACCAAATTCGACCTTAGGGCATTGAGATGAACCGACCCATGAATTTTGAGACCAACGACCACCATCAACGACGGTAGACGGTGGCCGACAGTGGCATCCGACCACCTTCAAAAAATTTATTTTTAATTATTTTATATTAAAATAAATAATACAATGTCATAACACCATTAAATAGTTAACAGCAAAGTGAGTAAAATAATTCAATTTGTAAAGTTTGTGATCAAATTAAAAAATTGAGAGTACAATAAATAAAATAAAAGAGAGAATAAAATACAATGAGGGACGGTGTAATTTACCCTTGAAATTAAAACGCCTTTTTTTCTGTTAGGGACTGTTTGTTTCGCTTTTATTTCTACTTTTACCATAATTATTTTGTAATTTTTAGGGCTTAATAAATATATAAACTAATATATCAAAACAAATATAAACTATGAATTCTTTTTATTTCTTTTATTTTTGAATAGTTGAGAGTAATTATAAAATAATATATGTTTAAAATTATTTTTAATTATTGGTAACCAAACACATCTTACATATAGGTATAAATACGAGACTCGAACCCAGTGGGTTCTAACTCGACTTAACCCTATTGGATCGTGTTTTAAAAAAAAATCAGGTTCGGATCGAGTTTTTTAGAGGATACATTCAGGTCAGGTTGGGTTTCAAAAAATAATTTAGGGATAATTGTAATAATACCCTTATTTATATTATTTTTTAATTAGATTCCTATTTTTATCGATTACAAATAATATTTTTTATAAATATAGTTTTATGTGTTGGGTGGGGTCGGATTCAAATTTATTCTTTAAAAATGGGTCGAGATCGGGTCAGATGAAGTTATCCTTAACCCAAGTCAGGTCGAGTTTCAAGTGGAGTATATATATTTTTCTAGTCGGGTTAGTCAAAAATTCAACTCAACCTAACTCATGCCCATCCCTACTTGTAGACAATATTGCTCGAATTCAATCTTTTTTTAAAAATTGCATTTCCTTTAACCGACCACTAATAGGTAGATTAGAGCTAATAATTCTTAATAACATAAAAGTATACAGTTTCATATATAATACTCTTAAAACAAAACAAACTATATAACTTAGACAACTTTTGTCTTCTTATTTATATTTCTTTCCCAAAATGTACATATATAATTTTATCGAATGATTGCATCAAATATTTTAAAATTATTATTTAAATTTTAGGTTTATTTATGCACTAAAATAAATCTTAGAAAATAAATTTTATAAAATAAATTATATTGTTTTGAAAAATGATATTTTCAAATCATTTTTTAATAGTCTGAATGATGTTATGTGAATCATTTTTTATTATTTGATATATATATATATATATATATGTGCATTATAAATATAAAATACAATAAACAATATTATTATTATAAAAATGTGATATTATTATTTTTAGAATATTATAATAATTTAATCAACATTATTTATTTCAATATTATTAAAATAATGTAATAAAATATTACATATTATATTATTAAAATTATTAATGAATATAATTTTAAAATTAAGTTTAATTAATATTAAAATATTATATTAATATTAACATTATATATAAACTAAAAAATATTTAAAATGTTATTATACCAAAAGATTTGGGAGGGCTACAAACAATGGCTCTGTTCCGCTCCGAAATGCCTAAAAGTTGGTAGGAGTAAAGTACACAAATGGTCTCCAACTATAAGTTGTTGTTTTTTCGAGTTTTCTAACTATTAAAAGTTATAAAATGGTCTCCCGAATATAAAACACTTATTCGTTGAGTCCTCCGACTATTAAAAGTTACAACATAGTCACACGACTATTCATATGTTTCAAACTCATCATTTTCTGTTAAAAAGTTGGTGGCCAGAACGTAAACATGCTCATTGAGATATGATAAAAAGCTAATATCGGAACTTTTTGAGTTGTATTTTGTGGATTGAGTCTCTGTTTACATTATGTCGCCGATCTAGTGCTTGAAACATTATGACATCGAGTCAATGCTTAAAAGCAACAACGGTGTCAGTATATATCATTAAAATATAATTTTATCATATCTTAGTAAGTAGATTAACATCCAACTCGGACAACCTTCAATTTTTTAATGAAAATAGACGAATTTAGAACATATGAATAATCAGGTGATTATTTTGTAATGTATAATAGTTTGATGACTCAATAAAATAATTGTTATAATTAAGAGATCATTATATAACTTTTAATAATCGTGAGCTAAATAAAATAATATATTATAATCAAATAATTATTTTTATATTTTATTTAAATTAGAAGGGCGGTAAGAGAAAGACAAGAAAATGGGAAAAGAAGAGGAAAACAAGAAAATGAAGCCTCCGACACTCCGCAATACCGAAAGCAAACAGGGCGCAGTGGTTTAACGATAGGAAACAAAATGGAGAATGTGTCGTGGCATGAGGGATGTCGAAGAACCACAAAATTGGCAAGAGCCCAAAGACAAAAAATAGAGACGCACATTGCATGCTCTTTGGATTTGGATTACAACTATGCTCTTTTTGTTTTTGTGTACACTCGGTTACTTTTTTTTTTCTTCTTTTATGTTACTATCTCGGTTATATAATATTGTCTTGAGGAATCTGGATCGATCAACATTGCATATCTGATTTTGATGGGTGAGTTTTCTAATGAATATTTTTTACATGCACAAAACCTCAAACTTAATATTTACTGAAACGATATTAAACTATTTACCACTTTAACCAATCTCGTTAGTACTCGGCTACCTTTTTCATTTTTCTCCACTTTCCTTTTTTCTCTAGAGTTTTGAATAATTAATCATTATCAAATTCGTTAGGAATTTATTGAACTATAGTTTTAAAATGTTGGAGTTTTGAGTATAGATGGATTATTCGTTTAGTTAATATAATTAATTTTTACAATATTTTAGAATTTATGAGTTTGAGCACTTGATGATTTTAAATTTAAGAGTTTAAAGAATTTTTTTCGAATCTTGTATTAAAAAAATATATAAATTTTGTTATACCTCTTTCGAATTTCTTTCGCTTCAGCCTTATACTCATCGAGAAATTACAATTCTTTGACATAATTTCTAATAGACCCGTATGATATGTCAAAATCATTTGACAATTGAGCATATCAAATAAGCCTACAGATAAATATCATGACTCTAATCTTGATACTAACACTAAGAAACAATATTTAAGTCACCATACATAGTTCCGAGAGATGATTCTCTACCCCAAAATAGTATAGAGATACAATCCTTCTTTTAGAGTCTCTATATATTAGTATTGCTAATCCTACATGCCTATCATCGTTCAAATATCGACATTGTGACTTTTTGCCTAAGTCAAAAAGAATATATCATTACATGTATTACAACATCAATTACAAAGCCATACAACCCTAGATTTTGTTGTCAAATGCAATGAATTTTCCATATATAATAGTTTTGATGAACAATATTTATTTTTTTTTAAAGGAAATATATATAAGCCTTGTTGCCATATAATTTATATTATGAATATTTTTTTCATTTCTCGTTTGGTCACAAGTAATAACATAAACAAAGAATAATATTGATTCAAAATATGTAATATATATTCTATTCATTGTTTCTTTCGAGAGATGTTTCATATAAAGTGGTACACAGCTGGCACCTCTCAATGTTGTTTTAGGGGATGTTTGTTTACTTCAAAATGATTAAGTGCGGAATGATTCAAATGTTGAATGATTTAAAGGTTATGTGTGAATTAGTTCTGAATGTGACATAATGTTTGATAATGGTTTTGAATCATTCAGAATGTACTTTGATGCTCAATCATTCAGCATTGTTTTGCTGAATCAGTCAGCACTGAATCATTCAGAGGTGAGAAACAAACACACTGAATGTTGAACGGTTCGACATTCAACGTTGAATGATTCTCTTCAGAGTCAAACAAACAACCCCTTAATTTTCATTAATCAAGGCCGATAGTTTCACGTTATAAAAATAAAAATAAAATAAGTTATATGATTTGCTAAAAATTAGCTAATATAAATAATTCAGTAAAATCTCTATATATTAATATTTGATAAATTACTAACCTCTTTAAAATAATATTTTTTCTAATATCGACTTGAATCTAAAATTTAAATTAATGAGATAATAATCTTTTAAAATACCCTTATATAAATTCATCCATAAATATTTTAAATGAAATCAAAGTCTAGATACATTACCTTGTATATCCATAAATATTTTAATTTTTAAAATGAAATCAAATTCTAGATACATTACCTGATATATCCATAAATATTTTAATTAAACTTATTTCTAAAAAAAAAAGGAAAAGAGAAAAAGACAAGCGAGGAAGTTACAGCATACAAAAAAAAAAACAATTAATACTACTTCGAAGTCCTCTTTTAGAGAGGAAGGAAGCACCTTTGTTCCATTATCATTTCAATTCAAATTCAATGGCGATGATGAAGATTTATAGTCACAAACTGAGAGCCCTGCTTTATACTCGCCCATTTCATTCCGTTTCTTCTCGCAGTTTTTCGTCTTCCTCCTTTGAGGTTAGCAGCCTTTCCCTCAAAACTTTTTGCGCTTTTTCATTTTTGGACTGTATCTCATGCCTCGAGTATGGAATTTAAACTTTTATCCCATGTATATTCTTTCGATGCTAGCTATCTGTTTAACTGGACTCAGTGTTGACTACTTTATCCTTTTTTGTTTGGGCACAAAGGATGCGTGGGAACAAGGGAAGGATTACATTTATTGAGATTATAATTAAAATAATTGCATGAATTAGCTAACTAAATTCCGGGTTTGGAGCTAGAGTTGCTAAATTGATTTCCTGGCTAGCTACTGAGTGAGAACATAAGAAACCTAAAACAGTTATCACTGAGGTAGAACTAAGTTTGGTATATAAATGCATTGGGTTATGTTCTTTAAAAGAAGCACAATGAATTTTCTGCAGTGGCCATTCTCAATTATGTAAAATAATGGAGAAATGTGTCGGTGAGATGTTTTCAGTTGGTGGTGGTGGAAATATAATCTGTTTCTCATGTTATTTTAATACCAATAACTTCAATTTTATGCTACACTGTCTTATTGTAGTTTTTGTTCTGATTCTTCTCCTAAATCCTAATTTGATTGAATGTATCATTGATTTGCCTTGACAGAATGTTGGATTCATTGGGCTGGGAAATATGGGATCCAGAATGGCAGATAATTTACTCAAAGCTGGATACAAATTGACTGTTCATGATGTGTAATGCATTCAAATCTTATCTTACCTTTTGATTTACCATGCTCATTTGGCTTCCATTGCGCTTCCAGCTAGTTGTATTGTTCTTCATGCTATTTAGGTTCTTCTTTGTGTAGAAAATAGAAAATGTTTCTTCTCTGAAGCAAATTTGCACCTTTATATTTTAATTCAGAAACTGTAATGCCATGAAGAAGTACTCTGACATGAGAGTTTCAACAAAACAAACACCATTTGGAGTTGCAGAAGCAAGTGACGTTGTAATCACAATGTTGCCTTCATCATCTCATGTGAGCATTATGACTTTGATTATCTTTCATGTGATTTTTTATTTATTGTGGTTCATAATGGATGTATTAGCTTATCCCTTTTTTGATTTTTACCTTCTAGTCTTTTTTGACTTTCCAGCAAGCCCGTTATCTTTTTATCACCATGAAATGAACCTTCTGCTAGATCCATAGAAGTAGTTTATTAGCTAGAATTTGGCTTCCCATATTCTTGTTTACATTTATGGTTATCAATTCTTGCTGTAAGGTTAAAGATGAAAAAGGTATCTAAGTTGAAACATCATTCACGATAAAAATAATACTATAATAATAATACCTTAAAAGTTAGGTTCTCTTGTATCTATTTTCTTCATTGTGTTAACCAGGTATATCAGAAGGAATGCAGGATAAAAGATTACCTAGTGAAGAAGTAATTAAATAGAGTTCATCAATTTTCATTCTTATTGAGAATTAATTACAAAACTTGAATCATAATGCTTTCAGGTTTTTAATTATATTCTATGTAAATTCTACTGGGGCAAGTACTTATGTTTCCATTGATAGGTTGTTAGTTTAAATTTATCAAATTCGGTTACACCTAAATATTAATTCTTCTTTTCTCCTTAATTTCTAAGGTTTATTGTCAACTGCAAAAATTTCTACCTAAGCAACCAATCTGATTTATATAGGTATTGAATGTTTACCATGGTCCATATGGCTTACTTGAAGGAGGAAATATCCTAAGGCCTCGGTTATTAATAGATTCTTCTACTATTGATCCCCAAACATCAAGAAGGCTCTCTGCGTCTATATCTAATTGCTCTCTGAAGGAAAAGAGAGGTACCAGTCAATGTAAATTAAAGATATAAATCTGAGATTTTAATAGAACTTTTAGTCATTAAGATAAACTGACATGCTCAGTCTATCACTCTCTTTCCTTTATTTTATCATTCTGTGTGAGAAATCTTTTTATTTCCTAAGTCTGTCTCCCTTTGTCACACACACACACACACACACACACACAGATACAAATACACTGACTTCTTACTAATAGAAATTGAAGATTATATGCCTTGGATGAGGGACATTGAAACAAGATGATCATAGTGACGCCTTATACATGCTAATTCAGGGTCACGTTCTCTTGACATTACCATTCAAACATGAGAACAATACAACCACATTTGAGAAGAACCTGCATGATATGTCTTCATTCCAGAGAAATCTTTTTATTTATTTATTTTTATTTCCCAAGTCCCTCTACCTTTGTCACACATATACAGATATAAGTACACTGACCTCTTATCAAAAGAAATTGAAGATTATATGACTTGGTTGAGGGACAGTGAAACAAGATGATCTAGTCATGTTAATTTGGGGTCACCATTTTCTTGACATTACCATTCAAACATGAGAATGATACACCACATTTGAGACGAACCTGCATGATATGTCTTCATTCCTCTGCAATCTTCATCTATACGTAAATATTCATGCACACATGCATACAAAAGTATATATATTTCAGTTTCAATTCATATAACTTATGTAGAGAATTGGGAGAGCCCTGTCATGTTGGACGCTCCTGTCTCTGGAGGTGTTGTAGCTGCAGAAGCTGGTTCACTTACTTTCATGGTAAAAATTCACATTTGATCACCTTTTTGTTTAGAGTTGACCAATTATATATTGTTTTCCATTGAGTGCATAGAGATACCCATTAAACTTCGTTTCCCAACCTCATCCAGAAAATGTAGGATAGCTGTCCTCCCCAATTGCAAATTACTTTTACTACTAAACTACTTATCAATTATTTTAACCCTGCTTGTGAGGCTGCTTGTTTAATATAAATTTTGCTGCAAGATATTATAATTTTTATATTTTTAATGATGTATGCAATACTAGTTGCTACAGAAGTCTGGTATTTTAGAAACACAAATGAGATTAGGTTGGAAGCACTTTTTGGTAGTATTCTACTTGTGATAAAAAATGCCATGTGATCCAGGTTGGTGGCTCTGAAGATGCGTATCTTGCTGCCAAATCCTTACTTCTCTCGATGGGGAAAAATGCAATTTTCTGTGGTGGACCAGGAAATGGTTCAGTAAGTGTTCTTTATAACATGAAAATATTTCCTTTTGATTTCCCCTCTCTCACTACCATCCTTCCCTCCCTTCAGGATGTAGCTTAATTCAATAGTGAAGAGGACAAGAAAACTCAATTTTAGGCTATATTCTCAAGAAACTTTAGTTTGTCATAGTTTCTAGATACATTTAACTATTGAACAAGAGTTTTATTGCCTTCTCTGCACTGTTGGATAATTGACTGATGATATTTGAAATTATGTATTGAATTGAGATGATGTTATCGGTTTAAAATGGCAGCTTAAAGAATTTACTGCAAGAGCATAAAAAATACAATACAAAGAATCAGTGTCACCAGTATGTTAGTGTATGTTTTTGAAGTACAAGAAGATGGAATTATTGGACTCATTATGGATCTATCCAATCAGCCAAAGTTATAACTTGATCAAGTATCAGCTCTTAGCCAATTCAGACAGCCTGCTGTTACAAGAGTTACTTTTTCATTAATTCTTTAAAATAATTATTTTTTAAGGGAAATATCAATATGTAACAAATAACTGCTCATTTTCATGTTTTCTTTCAATGCGGTTACTTGGAAACAAGATGGCTAAGCTCTTCCATTTATTTGTTTTGCTGTCTTTGAAATGATAACGCCTTTGACGTATTTAGGTTTCAATCTTATTCTTTATGGATTAGTAGGTGAAGTTGTGATATCATTGATATGGTTCTGTTATTCAGGTGGCAAAGCTATGCAACAATTTGGCAATGGCTGTCAGTATGATTGGAGTGTCAGAGGCTCTTGCTCTTGGTCAATCTTTAGGAATAAGTGCCGATGTCCTGACAAAGATATTTAACTCTTCAAGTGCTCGCTGTTGGAGTAGGTACTAAGCACTTCTCTACGGTTTCACTCACTTGAAATATAATAAAATAAAATTTCTTTAAGTGAGACTTCAATAGTGTGCTACCCTCTTAAAATAATCAAAATCCTCTACTTAGCTTCAAATATTTTATCAGAGGTCAACCATACATGAAAAAAATGAAAGTTATTACTAAGGGTGGAGCATGTACCTTTTTTCGTTAGTTGACAACAACTTTTATGAAAATTAAATCATGTTATGTACCTTTTTGTTGTCACCTGATCAGATTTCATGCTTTTAATATAGGAACCATTAGAACGTGTCTTTTCTATATTTTCAATAAATATTTGACATCTGTTAGCCAAGATATATGGGGGTGGGAGGAGAGTAAGGGAAAGCTTAATATGTGTATTTTGTTCCTCAAGAGCATATGGGTTGGGCTAGTTTTCTCAAGAGTGAGTTATTCTCCAAATTGGGAAAACTCAAGAACTTGTTTACTGTTGGTGAATTTTCCATTGATATAATTCTTTCTAAAATAAGCTCAATGTGACAGTGATAGTTATAATCCAGTTCCTGGTGTGATGCAAGGAGTGCCATCTTCGAGGAATTATAGTGGTGGATTTGCATCCAAGCTCATGGTAAGCAATTTTCGTTGCCTATATCTATATCTGTATCAATAAGAACTTGCTTCACGTTTATCACACTTCATCGGGTTGCTTAAGGCATTGGAAACTGGTAACTTGTTTAAGCTGAAATAGCATATAATGACTAGTTAACACAGTCCACTTTTTCTCTCTTTCTGACGTTCGGTTCTTTCAGTTTTCAAAATCTAAAACATGAACTGTACATACAAGAATTACTGGTTCCTACATGATATGAAGGAACTACCGACATAGTCACTTTTGTTTCATAAGTGTTCATTTTTTTGTCATCGAATTTTAAAAATTAATGTTTTGATCACATGTTTTTTTATAGGAATTGAAGGTCTCGTTAAAACCCCCTTCTTGATTAAAGGCCTCGTTTTGATCACTTATGTTAACAATTTCTAACGTTTTAGCATTTTTGATATTAAATGCTTTACTTTTATGACAGTGAAAGAGATTGATTTTTGATTTGATCTCTTAACTTTAGCTAAAATACCGATTTGAATCCCAAATTTTGGAGAAAATATCATTTTAATCCTTCAACTTTAGATAAAATATCATTTAACCCCTAAATTCGACCAAAGCCCCCTGTCGCTCACCACCATCGTCAGTCATCATCAGTGATGATCGTTGGACCCTAAAATTTTCAATTCATTCCTTTTTGACCATTTGTGCGCGAATCCAATGTCTGTTTCATCGGAAAATACATCAAACTCCACATATCTAGTCTAAAATCATTTCACTTTAAAATTAAAATATAACAATAAATTTATTATTAATATTATTTTAAAAATAAGGATGCTATGTTTAATCCAACCTGACCCGAATTAGGAGGATTTAAGTGTAGCACGAAATCATCGAAGTGACTAATCATTTTCTTTCTTGAAATCATTTACTCTATCATAAAGACATAATCATAATATCCAAAATAAATCAGTGTAAATTAAGTTTATAAAATATGGAGCTCCAAATAATACAACTTGGTAATCATAATAAGTTTAATAAAATAGAGTTACAGATCGAAATATGTCGTAAGGTCAATGATATACATGTCCATTATGATAAATCAAGACATACTTTGAAAAGATAAGTAGCTGGAACTTTGACTTAGCGTCAGTGCTCCTCGAATCTCCACGTAAGAACTAAAATAGCAGAAATAAAAGGAAAATTGAGGTTAGGCAATACATAAATAAAAGATGTATTTATCTATATGATTGTAAATTATGTTCATTGAAGTAAGGGCAGTTACAATAAGTTTTGGGTGTAATGGTAACACACATTTCACTCTCAAGAAGAGATCCAAGTCGAACCTTTGGCCACCCCCAAAAAGTAGGGGCAGTTATATATATTTGTCACGTCACTAATTTCTCCTACTCTGAGTTTTTGGTGGACTTATCTGAGTATGAATAAACATCTTCATTTTAACAATGCAGGCTAAAGACCTAAACCTTGCAGCGGCATCAGCAGAAGAAGTTGCTCAAAAATGTCCAATGACATTTCTAGCAAAGAACATGTAAGTATCATAACCGATTTTTCAATTTAAACCAGTTAAATAAACAGCATCGCAATCATGTAGAATAAGCCTCCTTTAAGGTGATGCATACAATGACTCTGCATTGTCAACCGGTTGATAAATTGACTTTTTGCAATCAATAAATGACATGTGGAAATATTGTTGAAGATAATGTAATCCCTTTCAAATACAATCATGCACTGTGTATTAGGTTCATGAATTTTTTTGCCTGATTTTGTTATGTCAAGCACTCTTATGCTTTTGCTGAGCTTTAAGTTGTAGAAATTGACAGGGTAAACTACGTATTTAGTCACTAACTATTTGTGCAATTCCGTTGTGGTCACCCAACTATTTTTTATTTCAAAATCTTACCAACATCATGTTTTGATTTTATTTTGGTCACTCGCCGTTATAAAATTAGCAGAATTGCTGAGTGATATTTTTTTAATTTTTCAATGATGATGTGGCATTATCATATGATGATACGTCAGTATCAACGTTAATTTTTTAACAGCGGGGGACCAAAATGAAGCCAAAATGTAACGTTAGGTCAGATATTTAAATAGCGGTGCCGTCAGAAACTGTTATTGCATGATCATGATCCCCGCAGTCGTAATAGCGCCCGCTCTGTCCTCAATCACATTAAGCACAACGTAACCGAAAACGTGACTGCAACCGCAATTTAAATCCCTGCGTTAGATATGATTTTGGAAAGGAAAAAAAATATTTGGGTGATCAAAATGAAACCGCTTGAATAGGTAGATGACTAAATACGTAGCTTACCCAAATAAATATATGGCCCTTAACTAAAACTTTGATATGTCTGACAGTAGACTGGTTATTTTAGCTGAGAAAGAAACTACCCTGTATCAAATGATTTTGCAGTATTTCTTTCTGTATTTCATAACATGACTAGAAACTACATGGATTTGCATCGATTCCATCTCAGATTGCATTAATGTCTTTAAGTATAGAGAAGGGATTCCAACTATAATCTCTTTCCACAGATATAGAGAGATATGCAAGGATGCTCATGAAACTGAAGACTTCTCATGCGTGTTCCGCCATTATTACTCTGGTAAGAATGAACATAATTAGCTTCACTTTTGGAGTTATACCTAAAGAAAAAGGGTTGAGTTTGGTACCATAAAGCAATGGATTTTCCCGGAAATGAGTGGTGATGGGCATAAGATATAAAAGCATACAATGATGTAAAAGCAGACTTGAAGGAAAACTTTTATTGTTTTCCAAAGTAAACTAGATTTTTTTTTTCTATTTAAATTGACTTTTGAAGCAAAATAAAAAAGTTGGAAAACCCAGCTTTTGACCTTTTTGGGTGTCAAATTATATAAATTTACCCCTCATTTATATAAATTATAAATATTGTTTAAATATATTAAAATTAAAATTTATAGTAATTTATGTTAGTTTTTGAGAAAGCATTACAAATTTATATTTAGTATATTATAATATTAACGATGGATTATCATAATGCTTGCTTAAATTTTATCTAGTTTTGATTATTAAATTTGAGTGTTATGTTTCTTTTATTAATATATTTTGGTATGTAGTTAAATTTTTGTAACGTGACCCGTTATAAAATATTTAATTTTTAATTTAATTTATCAACTTTAGGTAAAATATCAAGTTAACTTTATAATCCGACACTGTCGATACCGGTTGTCGTTGATCTCAAAAATTTTAATTCCTCTATTTTTTAATATCATAAATGTATATTCAGTGACTATTTTATTGAAAAATATCTTAACGTAAGCTTATAATAATATAAAATATTAATAAATAATTTCTTTTAATATTTCTATTAATAAATTTATTTCCTAATAATACTAAAACCTTTTATACTACTACTAAAAACAGACAGCCAATAGCAGGGTAGCACATACTTTGGATATACCTTGTCAGTTTTATGAAAATTTTGTATTGGGTTGAGGATTTAATGTGAATATTTTTAAAATTTTCTATAAATGAAGTAATTTTTTATTCAATTTAAAATAAATAATTATATATATATATTTTAAAAGTCGTTATTTTTATTAAAAATAGAAAATATCTAAATTACAATAAAGGTTTACAACTATAATCGTAAACTAAACATATAATAAGAATATTTTCCTAAACACAAGAAAATTAGTCATTTAAAATCACACAATGACCATACAAGGAAAATGTTAAAAAATCTAGCTAAATAAATTGAACAATAGATAAATGCGAATAGATCTGACTGCATCAGTAAACGAACAACAAAAGGAAATAAAACCATTGAAAGACAATCGACATATCGTAAATTAGAATCGAGCGATATGAAAAAACTATCAACGGACGCAAATCACATATCCAAATTCAATCTGATGGTCTAAAGTAAGGAAATTCATCATAATAATAAATAAGCGCCATCTTGATTAGTCGTGGCGAGATCAAATCTAAGCCTGAAAAAATAAACAAAAACAACATTCAAATAATCAAAAACGTGCCATAAAGCTAAAAGAATACGTGCAAAAAAAACAGAATTATTAAGAATAAAAAATAATAAAAAATAAAGATACACTATAATAAAGTAAAGGAAAAATAATGAATACCAGTTGTAGACAACCGTACCAAAATTGGTGTCGACAGCCAATAAAAAAATGAAGTGGCTATGGAAAAAGAGAAATATATATATATATATATATATATATTAATTGGTTTAATATTTACCATAAAAATTATTCTCATATCGTCTAAACCACGTATCATTCGACATTTATATTTTTAGATAATGAGAAATTATATCATAAATTTTAGAATTCATAATTAATAAATTTACTTAGTTTTAATTTAAAAGATACAATATTTTACATTATTATATGTTTTTTTTTAAATGACAATTGAATTTCATTAATAAAAATAATTAAAGGAATCAAATACAATGCACTCAACGAGAAAATTAGGGACAATAGTAACCAAAAACTCATACATGAAATAAAAATATTAAATCAAAATATATAAACAAAAACGAAATATTCCATTGAAAAAAATGAAACATTCCATTAAAAATGACGTTCAACATTAAAAGAATCGAATAACCTTCATACAATTCCTTGTTTCTATCGAACGAGATGCTTTACGAAGTGATAAAGGAGTGGTGAGCGAATCAAACAATTTAACAGACTATTTCGTTACACAATTTTGATTATATCGGTAAACAACCTTTTTACCAAAGAAGCGATCTTACAATACGTGACCACCGACAAAACAATCAAAAAATAAATATCATGATGATATTTGCGCGAACACTAACACGATCGCAGAGGAATGCGAAAAACGTACCAAACGCCATAAGAAACGTACCGCAAGAACATAGAAAAAGCTTTTCACAATAGCAGAGAAAAACGTGTCATAAAAGTAGAGAAAAACTTGTCACAAAGATAAATATTTTTATTTAAAGTTGAAAAAATTGAAAAAGAAAAAAGAAAAACAAATGACATAGTATAAAAATAAAAAAAATTAATATTAAGATCGTCGTCTACTAAAAAAATTAAAGAAAAGCATAAAAATAATGAGAAAAACTTAGAATAAAGAAAAAAAAAAGAAACCCTTGTTATTATATGTAATTTTTTAAATAATAAAACTAAAATTTTTGACACATTTCGTATAGATCTATAAAACATAATAAAAGCTAAAGCACACAACTCATAGCAGCATGCATTGTTTTATTTTCTATTATTGTTTTGGGTAAAAAATGAAGAAAAATAACTAAAAGTATAAAAAAATAATAAAAGAAATATTATTGTTTGGTTTCATATTATTTTGTTTAAAAGTTAAAAACAATTTAATTTAGAGAATTAAATGGAGAAGAAGAAAAATAACTTGAACAAATATCTATTAATATGAGAAAATCAATTAGAATATTAAAATAGAAGTACATCTGTAAAATAACTAAATAATCATTCATAAGAGAAGAAACAACTATGTTACATTAACAAGAATATATATTAAAATAGCTAACAAAAACGAGTATCATTTTTATATGAAAAAGAAAAATTATTAAAAAAAACCTTTATGTATACAAAACAATGAAACATATCTATAAAATAAAATCTAAAAAAAAGAGAGAAAATGAATGAAAGAACATAAATTGATGGGGAAAGAGCGACGATTGGACCTCAAGCAGTCAGCCAATTAAATTTACAAATATTTTTGCCAATAAAAGAGGTTTAGGTTAACAGCATTTAAGTTGTACAAACTAAAAGAGCAACATTAGTTTTCATAATATCTAGTCATTACCTCTCAAATCAAATATTATTACGTACTATGGTTTAAATAAAGGATCCGTCTTTTAAATTAATATATTTTTTCCCATTAAATTCAAAGAATATAATATCTAGTCATTTTTCGTTTTTATTTAATTAAAACATTATCACTTTTAGTTAATTTTCTCGCCGAGAGTCAAATTTTTAATGATTAAATATTTAAAAATCGATAAGATAAATGGTTATATCTTAATTAAATAAAAACAAACATAAACACATCTTAATGAAATAAGAATCGAAGGTGGTCAAATATTATATTTTTTAAAATTTAATAAGAAAAAAATGTACAAAACTTAAATAAAAGTAACCAATCATGTTGTTTACCCTTAAATAAAAGTAATATATACACAATATGTCTTATGATTCCTAAAGATTAAATATTATATGAATCCACAAAGTGTTTGCAATATATGCGCATATTATTAATAGGTTAAAGAAGTTTTGAACATATATTGCATTATAATTACTTAAATTATTTTAAAATATATATATAATAAAAAAATATGTAATATTTTTAAAAATGGCAACTTTAAAGATTAAAACCAAGCAAAATAAACATTTACCACCCCAATCATAATTTTATTTGATCGTATCATTCTATTAAATACAAACATACATCATTCATCATAAAACATTAAAGGCAAATACAAAGCAACAATAGAACAATCCCAAATACAAAGACCCATAACATCCATGCACATGGTTGTCAATCTGAATTTGACCCCCTACACAAAATAAATATATCACCCAACGACCGCCAATCCAATTAAAATACAAATTTCAGACCATTTAAAACAAAACAAACAAAAAAACTCCTCCCTCAAGCTCCAATTTCCTCTTCTTCCTCCTCCGGCTCCTCGTCGTACTCATCATCTGCGGTCGCATCCTGGTATTGCTGGTACTCCTGAACTAAATCATTCATGTTACTCTCAGCTTCGGTGAACTCCATCTCATCCATTCCTTCACCAGTGTACCAGTGCAAGAAAGCTTTCCTCCTGAACATTGCTGTAAACTGCTCACTTACCCTCCGAAACATCTCCTGAATCGAGGTTGAATTTCCGATGAAAGTGGATGACATTTTCAGACCCTTTGGTGGGATGTCACAGACACTAGACTTAACATTGTTAGGGATCCACTCCACAAAGTATGACGAGTTCTTGTTCTGGACGTTAATCATTTGTTCATCAACCTCCTTAGTGCTCATCTTGCCACGGAACATTGCACAGGCAGTTAGGTAACGGCCATGGCGTGGGTCAGCAGCACACATCATGTTTTTGGCATCCCACATCTGCTGAGTCAGTTCAGGCACAGTCAAGGCCCGGTACTGTTGCGATCCTCTGGACGTCAAAGGAGCAAATCCAACCATGAAGAAGTGTAGTCGTGGGAAGGGGATAAGGTTAACAGCCAGCTTGCGAAGATCGGAGTTTAGCTGTCCAGGGAACCGCAGACAGCATGTCACACCGCTCATAGTAGCAGATATGAGGTGGTTAAGGTCACCAACTGAGTCAAATTAAAGGAAGATCATAAGCGCAGAAACCAGAGCTCATAGGAAATTAATTCCATTACAAGAAGCTACTGCATGGACTAGGCATTTAGAGTGATAGATCAAAGCTTACAAGTTGGAGTGGCAAGCTTGAGTGTACGAAAGCAGATATCATACAGAGCCTCATTGTCCAACACCATACATTCATCAGCATTCTCCACAAGCTGATGAACAGAAAGGGTGGCATTGTATGGCTCAACAACTGTATCAGATACCTTGGGAGAAGGGAAGACCGAAAATGTCAACATCATGCGATCAGGATACTCCTCCCTGATCTTGGAAATAAGAAGGGTTCCCATTCCAGATCCAGTGCCACCACCCAAAGAATGACAAACTTGAAATCCTGTCACAATTGCATATAAAGTGAGATTTGAAGGTACACAGCCCCCCCCCCCCCCTTTTTGTTTTGTTTTGGTGGGTTTGCAATGCAAATGCAAGTTGAGATCTAAGAAAACTAAAGATTAATTTAACAGGATCACAAAAGAAAATACATGAACGAATAAGATGGTGACCAAGATGAGAAATTGGGAATGGTTATCATTTACCAATACAAGGACTAAACCTTTTATTGGTAACCAAAAAGCAAAAGATAAGATAAGAAATACTCAAAGCAAGAACAAGGCCATAATAGAAAAGTAGAAAGTTAAAGAGTGCAGGAACGAACCCAAAATCGGTTGAGGACAAACAAATGGGTTGAATGATCTCTTTAAATCAAGTTGCCGACAAAATTGGAATCATATGTTATTCTACATGAATAAAAAAGAGAAAAAAATAATTTATATGTTATGCATCCAACCCAAAATCAATTGATGATATGTAGAAAAGCTCAACCTGAATATAAGACCATGGAACATGACTCCATCACATGTTGACCGAAACAAAAGAGCCTATTTCATGACAAGCTCACAAAGAATAACAAACAGGAACAACAAGCAATAACAATAGGACAAGACCCAGGCTTTGGTAACAAATTAAGCATCTAGCCTTTAAACAATTGGATATAGAAAAGGCTTAACTTCAAGATAAGACCAAATATAATCCAGGATTTAAAGAATGTAGGATGATACCACTTTAACACAACATCTTATAGCTTTGATTGGAATTGCAAAAAAATGAAAAGGAAAATCCTACTTTCCAAACTTTGAGGAAACAAATGAATCAAACAAATGCTACATACAAAATGAAAACAGAAAAACCAGAGCACGATGCAACCACAACCACTTCAAAAAGTTCAAACAAATTTCAAGTTCTCCATTTTATGCATATAACAATTTTACTTCAAAATAGAATGACCAATTGGTATAACAGAAACGAAGACATAATCCAGGCTAAAGTGAAAATATATCTGCACTAAAAAAACCGTCTTTAAAATCCACCAGAAGAGAAGATAAGGAAAATTAAAGAAAAACTATGCCAAACACCCAAAGTAGCTCACAGAACCCAAGAACCAATCAAATTTCAAGAAAGAACAAGATAAATTTAACATAAAAGAGGAGAGAGCTCAGCAAATTGAGCTAAACCCATAAGTTAAAAATGTTCCAGAAAACAAAAACAAGGGTTCAAAGTTATAGATAGGGCTTATTATACCTTGCAAACAATCACAATTCTCAGCCTCTTTCCTAACAACATCAAGAACAGAATCAATAAGCTCCGCTCCCTCGGTGTAATGACCCTTAGCCCAGTTGTTACCAGCACCAGATTGTCCGAATACAAAGTTATCGGGGCGAAAGATTTGACCAAAAGGACCAGATCTGACGGAGTCCATGGTGCCGGGTTCGAGATCCATGAGGACGGCGCGTGGGACATACCTTCCGCCACTGGCTTCATTGTAATAGACATTTATACGCTCCAACTGAAGGGGGGAGTCTCCGAAATGCTTTCCGGTGTTGTCGACTCCATGCTCGTCGCATACGACTTCCCAGAACTTGGCACCGATCTGGTTCCCGCATTGACCACCTTGGATGTGCAAGATTTCTCTCATATTTTCTTTTCTTTTTGATTTTTCTCGGGAAAATGAAGTTGGGTAGCGTTTTTGTTGTGGAACACAAGGATGGGATGGGAGTGATGAGTGGAAAATTTTGTACTGGCCAGTGATAATGATTGCTGTTAATAGACGGGTCGTTACGATACAGTTTTAATATACTGTTAAAGAGAGGTTTAATCGAAAATATTAATATTTTTTAATATTTTTAGTAAAGTATTATTTAAAATATTATTTTTATCAAAAATATTAATTTTGTTACTTAATTTTAATAAAAATAACATTTTAGATAACGTTTCTGATAGAAAAATAATGTTTTAGATAGCGTTTTACCAGAAATGTTAAACATTTTACGTAGCGCTCAATATTAACATTTTCGTTAGAAAAAAAAATAATGTTTTAGGTATCGTTTTATCGGAAATGTTAAAAAAATATTAATATTTCGGTAATGTCTTTCCTTAGTCATATATTAAAACTGTCGCACCTTAGACTAGGGGTGTTCGCGGTCAGTTTGGATATGTTTTTTTAGCTAAAAATTCATCAGATCCAAAAGTATAAATGTTTGCAGTTTGGATCGGTTTGGATGTTTCTAAAAAAAATCTGATCAAATCCAATCTAATTAAGTGCGACTTGATTCGGTTTGGATTTGTGCAGTTTTTGGATTATAATTTTTCAAAATAATTCTTGAATTTTTTTCATAAAAAATAACATATGTATAACAAAAGTAAAGATAATATATATTTTAATAAATGCAAGCTTGTGAAACTTACAAAGATAATATATATTTTAACACATCAAGACTCGTAAGTCAACCATAAAAGTAAAAGACACATTTTCAAAGTTTTGCCCGATAATTTTCTCTACCTCATAATTGAGGAAATACCAAAATACGATATTATCCTTCTTTGCTATTATCATTTATTACACTATTTTTTTTCATTGGCATCGATGACTATAATCTGAAACAAAATTGTTATATACGTGTCGAAGAAAGCTGAATATGTATCTGTGTCTAGGTTTTGTGAGATTTTGTGGGACTTTTGATGACTTTGTTTCAAGCTTGTAAATTCAATATTTCATTTCATTGGTTCGGTTCGGTTTGGATCGGTTCCAGATTTTCAAACCGAAACGAACCGAATCGATCGTTTTTTTAAAGGAAAAACTAAACACCTTAAATCAGTTTCGGTTTTTTTTTCGATTATCGACTTTTTGGATCGATTTTTGGTTATTTTTTTAGATCGGATTGGATCTGAACACCCTTACCTTAGACCTCTCCATTAGTAGACGAAGGTGGAGTTGGTTAAAAATACACCTGCCCACACTTAGATTTTTGTTATTTTATTGAGTTCTTCGACTATTAAAAGTTATAAAATAATTGTTTTATTATTTATATATTCTAAACTCATATTTTTATTAAAAATTTGACGGGTCGTTTGAGTTATACGTTAATCTGTTAACTGATATATGATAAAAAATTCTAAACAATGAGTTATATTTTGAAGATCGAATCTTAGTTTATAGTATGTTGTCAAGTTAGTACTTGAAACATTATGTCATCAATCTAATACTTGAAAACAATTATGATACTTGTAGACATTATTAAAATATAATTTTATCATATTTCAATTAGTAAATTAACGTCCAACTTTTTTACCCTTTAAATTTGGAGAAAATAACTTCAGTAACAAAAAATGCCTTATAATATACGATTTTAACCAACTTTTTTTGGATTTGCCAAAATGACCAACTAAATCGCAATGCGATCGATAATTCGCAACGCGATCTCCGGTATCACAAATCAGTTTCCAGATTCGCAACGCGATTCTGACTATCGCATTGCGATTTCCCAAATCCGTGTTGCGATTTTCCTAATTCGCAATGCGAATACGTAAATCTCAACGCGAATTTGGAAAATCGTAATGCGATTACGTAAATCGCAATGCGATTACGTAAATCGCAATGCGATTACATAAATCGCAATGCGAATACGTAAATCGCAATGCGAATCTGTAAATCGCAACGAGATTCTGACTATCGCAATACTGAATTTCAAATTCGCAACTCGATTTCTGAATTCGCAATAGGTTTTAGTTTCGCAACACAAATGTTTTGGGTATATAACTACGCAGCAGCAGTAACTCATAACCTAAATCCCTAAATCGCAATTCATTCCATCTTCATCTATCACTCTCTCCGACGACATCCGTTCCTATATCCAACGACAACCTTCCCCATCCGGCAACATGTTTTAGTTTCGCAGCTCGTTTGTTTAGTAAATTAATTTACAATAATGAAATCATCTAATGTTGATCATGTTTGGATAGATTTGTGTTTTGGATGGTCATGGGAGAATGTTCATGGTGTTTTACAATATATGCCTTTACCCATGAATCTTCAACTAAAACTGTCATTAAAAAAGTTAACTTATGAAACTCTAATGTTACGTGTTGCAAATAAATTGAATTTAGAGCCCCTAAGTGGATTTAGGCTATCTTATCAGAGAAATGGTAAAGTTTATTTGTTAACCGACAATGAAGATGTTGAACGATTCATTGCTTACATTAGTGTTTCAAGTGATGATGTTATATTGTATGTTGTTGAACCAAGAAGTAGTGAAGTTGGGTTAGTAGCGGGTAGTAATCAACTAAGTTTTTCAACCCCAGTTTATGGTGCTCAAAATTTAATGGTTCCACCACAATTTCATCACCAAGCAAATATTGTTTCACTACATTTCCAATACCAAACATGTAACATCCCAAAATACGGATTAGTGACCAAAATTGTAAAATTTCAGAATATGGTGATTAAAGTAGAATAGTTTAATAGTTTAATGATTTGTTCGGAAATATTTCCTAAAAGTTTATAGTAATTATCCAAAGAATTAAAGGGCAAAATGGTCATTTGACTTGAAAATTATAATTAAATGATATATATAGGCATGTGGGATAAGGATGAGGAGATATTTTTCTCCACTTCATCTCCTTTGTTCTTCCACACGAGAGAGAGAGACATCAAAGGTGAGTTTGCTATTTTGTTAATTGTTTGTTGTTTTAAAAGTTGGGTTATGATCACTAGATGATAATTAAGCTTAAGGAAAGCTTAAGTTATCTTAAGAGCAAAAGATAAAAGAGTTATGATAGATTAAAGAAAATGAGTTTTATATGAAATCATGGAATAGAGTTGATAAGTTGAATTTTAAGTTGAATTTGACTTGTCATCTATGAGAATAAGAAGATAGAAGTGTTAGAATTGTATTTAGAACATATTGAAATTTTAGTATGATTCTTGAATTTAATATGAGGAATAGGATTTTGAAGTCATAGAGGATTTTCATGGATATAAGTTAGTTTAAGTAATGGTATTTGAGTTTAATGACATGGTAGGGGTTTAAAATAGAAGAATTGAAGGAAAATTTGATGATTTTCGAGCTTAAAATATAATTTATGGGTAGAGGGAACCGATACCCTATGAATGGGAATCGATTCCCCTCTTGAACGAAAAATTCCAGTATGTTCAGGGGGTATCGATTCCCCTGGGGGGGTATCGATTCCCCCCTAAATGAAAATATAGAATTTGATTCATTAAACCGGTTTAAGTTATTAACATCAAGTTTAAAGTTTAGGCTTCTGATAGTTGTTTTGAAATGATATATTTATGTAGATATTGAGCCTAAACAAGTTCCGGAATAATCAAAAGATTATAATCGAATCAAAGTAAGGCTAAGGTGAGTGCAATTTAAATTGTACTTATGTGATTGATCAAACATTAGCTTGCGATGAGTCAATGATAGAGTTACTATGGTAAGAAGTAACTTATATAATGTTATGTGATTACTATGTGTGCATTAGTACATAGAAATGGATGTATGTTTATATGTTACATGATTTACATGCTTACGTGAAAAATGCAACATATGATATTAGATATATGTTTACACATACATGTGGTATGTGATAGAAGAGAAGGAACATGTGATTATGAGATCAATGATTACACGTACATGTGATACGTGACTGAAAAGAAAAGATATGTGTTTATAAGAAAAAGAATATGAATAAGTAATGTGAACTGTTATAAATGATAATGCCCATGTTATGTGATATGAGAGCTAGGGGTATAGTTGGCATGCCAAGGGTCGAGGGTTTACCTATGTTCTTCGGGACATATGGACTGTTTACCTATGTTCTTCGGGACATATGGACTGTTTACCTATGTTCTTCGGGACATATGGACTGATTACCTAGGTTCTTCGGAATCTATGGACTGGTCCTTCGGGACATTGATCGAGCTGTGGTGACAGCATAGTGGTGCACAACCTCAATGTACTCACATACCTTAAGTTCTCAAAAGTATACATGGGCTAATACATGGTCTTTACAGAGAGTAATAAATAAATTGATTTGCTACTATGTATGTTTTGTTGTGAAGTAGTATATGTGTTCCATGGTATGTAGAGAAATGTTCGATATATATATATATATTTATACGATAAAAAGGTATTAAAAGTACTTGTATTATCTTATGTTATCATGTATACTGAATTATATGCGACACGATTGAATTCATAGATTGAATGTTTATATTTATGAGAAATGCATTATTATTATGTTTTTGCTTCACTAAGTCTATGACCTAGCGTGTAAGTGATTTACACGTAGGTACTGAGAAGCAGAAGGATCAAAGCTAAGTTCAAAGTAACAACATATCTCTGCTCAAAGATCAGATCAGAAGTAAATTACACAGTATGTATTATTATGTGATAAATAGGTTGGCATGTAAATAAAGTAGGTAAATTAGGTAGTTATGCTCTGATCGAGTTTTGTAATATTTTAAACATATTTATATAAGTATAAATGCAAAGAAATGAACGGTTAAATTTTTATGAGTGTTATGTACATTTATGAAAATCACTGTAGCAGGTTACTGTAGTACTGTTCATATCGTATTTCACCGTTCATAAACACGTTTTTATCTCAAAATTTTATACCAAACACAATTGAATAATATTTGATTGTATTTTCTTAATATAAATTCAAATGTTCAGTTATTTTACAAGAGTAAAGGTTTTGAAAATGTCAATGTGACATCTCGG